GGGGGCAAACAGGCAGTGCTATCTGTGTCAGCTGCTAAGCCCCGCAGTGTTCTCCCAGGGAGACTGTAACGTTAGTTCAATGCAGCTGGGGTTAGTTGTGTGTGTCCATTTGAGCTGGCCAATCAATCAATTCATTCAAATGTAACGTTAAGTTTTGAAACTATGCAAAAAGCTGCTTAATCTTAACATTGAGATGTAAACTCCACAGGTTCTAATATAAACAGCTGCTAAGGACTATGTAAGACCCAGGCCCAGCCCACTCAAGTCACTCATCTACATAGAATAATCATTTCCCCATAGTATTCATATGATCATAAGATATTACAGAGGCGGGGGCATTTTACAACTCCAAAGATATGGGGCCTTTTGTAGTTTGTTTTAAAATGGTAAATCGTGCGTGTGAAAAAAATTAGAGGTTTTATTTTTGGATTTATTTTATTTTATTATCTTGACTCTAAACGTTTAAATAGAAATGCTGGTATCCTCAAACATCCAGCATGGATCAGTTTGACCTGTCATTGCTGGCCTCTGAAACATCCCTCTGCTACACAACTTCCATATTATGTTCAGTTTATAAAGCAGACAGTGTGCTATCAATATTCTTATTTTCATGATTTTTGTTTTTTACATAGTCCACTACTATTTCCCAGAGCCCAATGTGATTTCTTCAGATGTCTTATTTTTCTTGACCAGCAGTCCAAAACCCAGACAATTTACAATTGCCAATGAAGTAATTGCTTAATCAACTAATGTTTCAGATTTTCACTACACAACTCTATTGTGCTGATAATCCTGCTTTGACTGTTTTGGACATGCATCCCAATGTGCATTCATTGCTTGTATTTTCTAGTAGATCTTCCTCAGTAAAAAAATTCTACGAGGAAGGGAGACGAGCTCAAACAAACTATTTAAATATTTACAAGCTTTCAAGCTTCACCCTAATCCAGATATCTGGAGAGAAAGAGTGAGAGCAAAGCTCAAACAAACTCTTTACTTCTTTAGCTATAGGAATAATCCGTAGAGAGAGTGACAGAGAAGGTCAAACAGGCCCCACACCTACTGACTGCTTGCACACAGCATAAGAGGACAGGTAGAGACCGGGCACTGTTGGCAGAAGAGCTGTGGATGGCGGATACTCTGAGAATTAATTTCAGTAATATATATTTGATTATATTTCTCTGAAAAGTTGTTAAATCTAGCAAGGCAGTACCCAAGTTGTCAACACTGGTCTCTCTCTGGGCTTATTTGTTTGTGTGTAAGTGTGTATGACGTAGTATAGAGGTTGGCCAGTGACAATTTCAACACTGACAACTGTAGGAGAAATTCTCCCACAACATCAAGTAATCAGACTTGATATAGCACTTCTCGTACAAGCAAAATGTAACACCAAGTGCTTCACACATTAAAACGCACACACACACACACACAAAGTAATAAATGTCTTTGTAATCACTCAAAGAAATAAAAACACAAACTGAGGTAACGCTACCTCATCAATTTGCAGTGAGGAAACACTGGAGGCAGAATAAAGAAAAGATGATAAATACTAAAAGAAAATACAATAAAACAGATAAATAATAATACATTGCTGTTGTAGAATTAAAATACTAATATAAACAGAGACAAATAAGTAGATTCAAATAAAAAAATCTATAAATGTAGGTCTTGAGTTTGCTTTTAAAAATATCAATATATAATTGATGTAAAATAAAAAATAAATATAAATGATCCATGACACAAAACATAATGATTTTATTTGTAATGATACATGTCTCTACTGTCCCAGGTGCTATTGTTATTGTCCCTGGGACAATGGGACAATGGGACAATGGGACATCCTGAGTGCTGGATAGGAAACATCTCACTCCCTGACTCAGATCTTTACATTTGCATTCACTATTTTCATATCATACCACACTGGCATGTGAAGTACTTTAAAGGGACACGAATGGAGTTGCCGGTCCAGGATATGTTCATTAGCAAGTCAGTTTCCCTCAGATGAAAACCCCAGAACACAGCTGTTCCAGAGGTGGAGCAACCTTACAGAGGTAGTTGCACAAATCAATGGATGCTCTCTGTTTTCCACAGGTGTGCTTGAATGCAGCGCTTTTATGAAGAAGTGTGAGTGACTTGCACGACAACCATGGGGAAGAGGAGGGTGCCAGATCTCTACAGAGCCCCCTTTCCCTTGTACTCCATTAAAGTGGACCCTAAAACAGGGCTGGTGATCACAGCAGGAGGAGGAGGGGCTTCCAAGACGGGCATAAAGAATGCTGTGGTAAGTACTGAGGATCAAGGGTGTTAGTGATTAAAGTGTTGATTTATTAGAATACCCTAAAAGGTCCCTGCACTGCAACTTCAAGGGAAATGTTGCCAGTTTTCAACCAGCTTTGTATCTTTCTATTTAGAGACTAGTTTTCCAGTCAAACACAGAAAAAACCTGGAAATAATCTATGTTGTCCTGAAACATGTTTACTGTATTTTAGCCCCTCACTCAGACAGCCTAGGCACATATTTTGTGTGCAACTCCACTGTTGGTAGTTGTGTGGTATGACACTTCAAAGTGGGCTAACCAGAAGTGAAGTGGAACAGAAAAACGTTTTAAACAATCCTTATTCATTTCAGCCGTGTCAGTCAATCTAGCTGTTCACACCAGACACAGGGTGGAAGGGACTCTGCAGCAGGATAATCAGTCCTCAATTGTAAAGAAAATCTCCAGGAAAAGGTGAGTGGCACCCTTATTACAGTGTGAGTAGTATATGGAAATGAAGTGCACCCAGAGGTGCTGCCCCACTACCCACAATGTAATGATACAAAGCTGGTTGGAAATCTGTCAAATGTTCCCTTTGAGAAAAGACAGGCACATAGACAAAAGACAAGATTGGTTGTGCTGTGTGTGTTCGGGAAAACAAACAAACAAACAACAAGTAGAAGACAGGTAAGAAAATGGAAGCAACAGAGGAGGGAACCCTGATGTCTTGTGTACAGAATCGACCAACAAAGAGTTATAAATAGATCTAATCTATTGAGAGAGAGAGAGAGAGAGAGAGAGAGACCCATTGCTAAATGCTGTGCAACCCGTTTCCTTCAGTTGCTTATGTTTTCACGTGTTTTCTAAAGTTGTACTGCGTTAAGCTTTCAGGTCTACCGTAGAATGCAGCAGAAGAGGGAGTTATACAATTACATGCGTATATTACAAAAGTAATATTTAAAGGTACTCAAGTTTATGGAAGACCTAAATGGTCTTTACAAGTTAATTATTTAGTTATCTTAGGATAACCACGGTCATTGTCCTGTGATAATGGGTTAATATATCATTATCTCGAGAAAACAAAAGGCTGATTTCACGAGATAAGGTAATAATAAACACTTGATTAGATTCATGAGAGTGGACCGTGACACATACATATTTTAAGGGATAGTCTCACATACAGTGGTCAACTTAAATCAGATAATCAGTGGTTCAATAGGGAACAATTGAGTACATAGGCCTACAACGAGGCTCAGAGGGTCAGCACAGACAGCCCCAGCAGCACGACAGAAACACACTCATCAGTGTTGGATAAGGTGGCGCAGGGATGAGAGAGATAGACAGCCATGGTGTAAATTCCCTCATATCGGATCACAGGGAAAAACATTTTTATAACAAATGGCAAAGGTTCATAAAAAGTTTGCTTTGAAACTGTGAAACCCACACCACAGATCAGTGGCCACTCTTCTGAATCTTCTGAAGTGTTTATTGTCTTGTTATTAAGAAATAAGACTTTTGTTTTAGCAATATCAATCCAATTCAATTCAATTTTACTCCTCTATTCTCTGCGCGACTAAGAGTGAGGGTGCTACTTTTTGGATCACTTACCTCTGCGAAATGGCGTGTTTCACAGATTGAAAATAATTAAATCAAAGTACAGGACCGCCTTACTGACAAAACACCTGCACTCAGGACTAGGCTGTCAGTAGCTATGAGCCAACTACAAAGCATTCACAGACAGTATTCAGTCACAGCCATCTCACTACCTGGGTGAGGTAACAGGGACAGTTTGGACCAGTTAAGGCAATGTGAAAGTGATGATGGCATAAGATGGTACATAACTTTGCACTGAGCTTATTAACATTTTACACTGGACTGAGGAAATTTTGGTTAAAACAACCAATTACAGTTTCTATTTATATATATTATCTATATACATAATTAATAATACTTTATTTATTAATTATTTATTAATTTATTTATTTTTCTAAAATGGCTAATGTTATGTAACTTGCATGAGGCTTTGAGTGGGATAAGCTTGCACTGCATGTGGATTCTGCTCACCTGATAGTGTGTTTTGTGTGTGTGTCTGTGCCTTCTATGACAAAATACATTAATCTGCATACAAGAAGGAAATATGGTCACACCTTTATTTTTTGTGTTGGACATAAAGCTGTACTTAATTACTATGTAGATTAATTGAGAATTTTGTGTAGGCATTACAATTACATTCTTATTTTCTAAAATGGCTGATATTAATGTGGACTTGAATGAAGGCCCTTCAGGTGGGTAAGCATTAACACTTGATGGCAGAATACTGTCTCTTCTATAAGTAGAAAATTCCACAAATTCCACATTCCTTTTCTTTTTGTGTTGGTTGTGAGATTGAATAACCTTTTAGGAATTGAAGTTGATGTTATTGTTGAGTTGTCGTTTTAGATTGAAGTTGATGTTTTAGAATTGAAGTTGATGTTTTAGAATTGGAAGTTGATGTGTTGATTTGGAAGCTATGGCCAGTTTTGATATGCTAGTTTAAGTGTTTTTCTTTGTTGCATTTAATTTGAACGTTGGGACCAAAGCATTTCTGTAATTCAATAGCAATTGCCTGAATAAAAGGCGTCAAGGTTTGGTAGTACAATCTGGGCTGTCTCCTTTTTCTTTTCCAACGCTTCAATAGGTAGATCTTGCCTCTCACCAAGGTGAGGTCAGGGATTCTTGGGGGCTTAAAAAGGTTGGAGGACGCACTGTGCCCCTAGATCTATTCGGGGGGTTTTTCCCATTGGTGTGCATGAGGCTCCTCTCTTCCTGCACTCATTCATGGTCCCATTAATGCATGTTTACTAACTTTCACGTTCTTCTCTGGAGGTTCTTGTGCTTTCTCGTCTCAGCAGGTTCTCATGGATCCTGGTGGGGGCCTCCTACCATGGTATTGCTTGTACGGGATACCATTTGCTAAAATTCACTGATATTAGGTGTTATTATTATTGATAGTATTATTTTGGCTACGGTTACCTGTTGTGTTGTCCACTGCTCATTGTCTTCCCATGCTATGCTGTTTGTCGGTCGTCATCATCTTCTTCATTGTTCTCATCATCAGGTCACTCTATTAGTGTATGGTTTGTTCCTACTCTGTCTGTTCTGTCTTGTTCTGTCTGTTCCTGTCTTGTCTGTCTGATATGTCTGTCTGTCTGTCTGTCTGCTCCTGTCTGTCTGTCTGTCTGTCTGTCTGGTCTGTCCTGTCCTGTCTGTCTGTCTGCTCTCCCTCTCTCTCCTCCCCAACTGGGTTCAAGGCAGGATGGACCACCCACCTATGGAGCGAGAGGGTGCTGTCCTAGGTTTTGCTTGCCCTGTTTAAAGGCAGGTTTTTTCCTTGGCCCCGGTCGCCAAGTGGGCTTGCTTCATTGTTGTGGTACTGTTGGGGTCTCTGTAAATGTTTTGAAGGAGTTCGGTCCTAGGATTGCTTGTATTTGAATAGAGTGTTGAGATAATTTGTGTTATGAATTGGCGCCTTTAT